ATCGGCCAGAACTGTCGGTGCAGGGAAAGCAAGACAACAGAGCTCTCCGCCTGACTGCTCCCGCCTCCTGCAAAGTTCTGCTTTCTAAGAGGCAGTGAGCTCGAGCGATCAGGAGACGTATCTGTTTAAGCTGCTCATCTCCAGGGGATAAGAACACCGAGCACGAGTGTCTGAATTCTGTCCTCAACTCTGCTACGATGGCACCAGCCTTGGAATCATTTTCTTTTTCTCCATAGACTTGGGAACCGGACTTGGAATCCTTTTCTTTTTCTTTTTCTCCATAAACTCGGGATTTTGACATCTGCGAGTGAAGACCAGAACGTACCTGATCATCTCCTAACACCTACACTAATACACCCCTGTGAGTCTGAGCTTGGGCTGCCTGCACCATGGACGGATAAATGTTAACCGCTGGGTAGGTTTAAAGAAAGCAAAAGGGGGGATATTATCGTTGGTTAACAATATTTTTCAACCAATAAATCACCCTCCCCCAGACAGTCTAAATCAATCAATCTCTGTCTCTCTGTCTGTCTGTCTGTCTGTCTCTCCCTCTCAAAGCTTAGGGAGAACTTCAGTGGTTTGGATGACAATATTTCGAGCTCCAAGGTCACGTGTAGGTCACTGGCTTGAACACCAGATGAGCAGGCCAACTCTTCTCTCCCAGGCTGCTGCTTCAAGAGCGATGGGTGGAGAACCAACGCTCACAGCACGAACAGAACCGCTGGCCTCAAGATCCAGATGAAATGTGAGTTAGCCAGGGAGGGAGCTTGGCCCGTGTTTTATGAGTCCTGGCTGCAGGGAGGGGATACAGCCTCTCACAGGGCTGGACCAGCATTGCATTCCTGGACACCACGCTGAGTCTTGAGAGTAACGGGAGACGTACAAAGTGTGACATGCTCTGTTTAGGCTGCTACGGATCTAAAAGTATGGGATTGCTGTGAATTCATCGCATGGCAGAAACGCAGAGGTGGCTTCTCAAGTGGGAACACAGGCTTGGAGGGCTCCAGCCGGTGGAGGGAGGTACTCGGACACGGAAGCAGACCCAGACGCTTGATCCTTTCCACGAGGGCTTGACATCACAAAGGTTAGCACCAAAAGTGGTTCCCTTGGCTGACCCCAAACACCAAGAGGGGACAGACAGCCCTGACTCCTGCGTGAAAACACAAAGCTTCTGCGGTCCTCCTGGGGGGCCGTGTAAAGGTGCCTCTCTGCGCCGAGATGCACAAAGGAGAACCAGGGGCAAACTCCAGACCTCAGAGGTACGCTGGCGACAGGAAGGACGGGGGTGCCTTCTCTGCAGCCACAGTCTCCCAGCCTCGACACAGTCCGACACCCCACGCGGCCTTGGGTGGGAGCACAGCGCGTGCAATCTCCCCATCAATGGGCTTCCGTTATCACGTTCGTTCCCCTTCTTTTCCACCATAAACACAATTCTAAGCGATGGCTGCACACTTGGGCCAACCCACAAGAGCCTAATAATCCTGTAATGAAGTGGAACCACAGTACCAATAATTCTATGAAATTGAACCACTACGCGCTGTAGCTTCAAATGTATCTGTGGCTCCCACTGCGGATCCTGAACGCCAGCTCCCTGGCAGCACACGTGGTGACCTCCTACCCTAAGGCCGAGGCAAAGACTCTTGTTTTGGGGGCCGGGGCTACAAAGTTGAGAAGGAGGGCACCGCCTGGGCGGCTGAGTGTGGGGGAACAGGGTGAGTAGGCGGTGCCAGCCGTGCAGGCAGCATAGGCTGGGGGGCTGCGTTCGGGGGGGTGGGGGAGCCCCTGGGGCAGACAGATGATAAAGCTGAAAAGTTTCAAGAAAAGGAAACAAAGGAAGGATATGGGGACCCACTGACTGGGGTCTGAAACACCGACTTCATTTTCTGATACTTTGTCATTTCACGGCTCCAGGTTAAAGCCTGGTCAGTCCAGAGGCCAAAAACTTGCTGCTCTAGCTTGACTCCCACGGTCCCACTGGGTTCTAAAAACCTGAGATTCTGTGATTCTGAGGCAAAGCACTGCGTCACAGTCACCAAAGAAAAAGGGAGAGAGTTAAGAGAAAGAAAAGAAGAGCGCAATACGGACGATGGAAAGGGGTCCAAGGAGAGAGAAAGTGTGTGAACGCCAGGCCTTCCGGAGTGAGAAGTACTAATGAGACAGCAGGGCAGGAAATAACAACACAGGGTCACCCCTCAGCTCCCTCAGATAGAGACTCGGTCTGGAGTGGATGATGCCCTCAAAGACCCTGAAGTTATCTGCCGGACTTGCTATGCCGGTGTGGACTCCTTAGTAGCAGGCATGGGGAACTCCCTTCAGAGGATCTACTGCAAACATCTGGTAACCTCATCAGTGGGATGGAGAGCGTGCCCCGCATCAGAGTGAAGAGAGGAAACGTAGCCGCAAATACACCCTCAAAGGACGACACTTATTTAGGAGTCCTTCCAGGTTCTCCTAAGTCCTTGACTCGGCTTTACGCAGCCTACATTCCCCGGCCCCCCACCCCAGAGCCCTGAGAACGTGAATTCCAAGAGGAGAGAGATTTTTGTCTGTTCTGTAGATGGTTGTTAATTTCCAGTGCCCAGATCAGTGCCTAAGACATAGTAAATGTTCAATAAATGTTCCTTGGAGGAAAGGAATAAATAATACCTATTTTACAGGGAGAGCACCCAGAGTTGTTTTAAAAGTAAAAAATTTTTTTCTTTACAGCCCGCCCCCCATTACTCTCTCCGCAGCCCCCAGTCTGGGATCACGGTCCCCGCTGGCTTTGGGAAGAGCATCCCACAAGCCTGAATTAGTTTACCTTCTTTCCACATACCTCTTTGGGGAAGATTTTCCTCATTAGACGGGGACTAATTTCAGTGCTGAGCTCCCGGGCATTCTGATCTTTTAGCATCACTTATGCAAATCCACGGCACCTGGACCAGCGCAGGGAGGGAAGCGAACTGCGTGATGAACCTGGACGGCAGGATCGATTTCCAGAGTCAGCCTCCTAACAGGGCCCTCCCTAAATGTTTTCTGCTGATGGCCAAGTGGCCAAGCTCAGGCCTTTCTACCCAGAAACACGATCCTGCTTTCTATACCGACAAGTATTAATTCAAATCCCTAGTGGGCAGTCCAGGATATGGAAATCATAGTAATCTAATCTTGTAGAGGAAGAAGTATGAATCATCATTACACGGTCTGACAAAGAGCTAAGTGATTAATCCCAGGTTGCACAGAGGCTGGGGTCCACGGTGATGGCTCCCCGTGGGCTACCAACCAAACAGTGGGACCCGGCCGGCAAACATTCGACAGGCAACATCACGGCTTTCATCCCAGGGGAGCACCAAGAAACAAAGGGCCATGTTCTCAGGACCATGCTGCAAAGCTCTTGATTCTTTGGAAAACTCTTGACTGTGCGGCCAGAGGAGTGAGAGAATCTGGGGCTCAAAAATCTTGTCTCTCTTCTGACTCTGGTGTCACACGCTTAAGTTCTGAGGGTTACTTTTCAGTAGGAACTGGGAGGTTTGTGGAATAATGGCGTCTCAAAAAGTGACCAGAAACTCCAATCCTCTCCAGGGAAAACAAAAGACCATGCTTAGGAAAAGACACCACCAACAACCCGGATGTGCTCTCCACCACATCAGACACCTACCTCTCTGAAGGAAGGTCTTGACCTTTTCCTGAAACTTGCAAAAAGAACACTGAAGCTCCCCAGCCCCCATCAAGAAACCACAGCCCCAGGCGCACTGGGAAACTTGGTCAGGGCGCCCACAGCCCTGAACCATCACTCGGCTTGGCGCTTTTTTCCCTCCACTTTTTCTCTTGCACAGCTGTGTTCAATTTTCTGTCCTTGGGGTTTTTAAAGGAACATTTATTCTAGGGCCAGGATTCTCCAGTTTTATGGTTATACAACTCCCTCTCAGGGCCAAAGAATGTTTGAAAAGCCTTAAGCCCAGCACAGAGAGTTAGTAAAAGTATCCAAACGAAAGTGAAATGAAAAGTCAAGACTTGTTCCAATGTCGATTCAACCTCTTACTTGATTGCGCTGTACCTTCTGTTTGCCCTGCAAGACATTTGCTACCTACTTTTTATCAAAGTATAAGTATGGTGTGTGTGTGTGTGTGTGTGTGTCTCTGTGTGTGTGTGTGTGTGTGTGTGTCTGTTTGCAAGCAGGTAAGGAACAGAGAAGTCCAAAGGTGTATTTATATTCTTCCACAGTTACTGTTTCCTGTTCGATGGTAAATTTTATTTTAAATAAGACCTCCATCTTCAATTGGACTGAATAAAAGATCACAAAGAAAGATTCCTTGAGGATTTTTAAGGGCTTGTTTGTTTTTCCTAGTTAGAGAGCCAGACAGTACTAGGTTTTTGGTAGTAGGATAGCAGTTTAAAAAAAAAACAAAACCCTAGTTTTTACTTAAATGGTGAAACTAATGGCATTGTTAGTTGAAACGCCCTAAGTTCAACATCCAAAAGCACAGACCCACACACACACGCGCCGACCAAAAAGCACGAGGCTCCCACCAGCCCGTGAAATGCTATCCAGGCTTCTAAGTGCAGCCGAATGGAGCTATTTCAGAACGCCCAGCAGTCTCTTACCCGTCCGCTTCTCTTCTCTTTTCCTGTCACCTAGACTCCCACATCTCAAAGAAATCTGCCCAAAGGCTCTGTCTAATACAGGTTCAGGAACATCACTCTTTTTTTGCCCCCTGGAGTCTCCCAAAGGCCATCCGCCTGCTTGATACACACTCCCCTCGATCTGACAGATAAAGCAAAGGTCGGGCGCTGAGGCCTGAGGTTTGTGACACAGCACACAGCACCCACATGAGAGGCCTGGCCGCAGCCCAAGGCAAACAAGATGATTTTGAGAAACAAAGTAATACGCACAGACTCACTCACCCTCGAGCAGAGAAAACTGAATCCGTTTTCCACCACGGAAGGATCTGAAATGCTGTCGGTAGCATCTGCTAAATACAGTCCGATTCTCTGAAAACGATGAGCAGGTACTGTAAACTCACCTTGCGACCGGATCATGATCAGAGACAAGAGGCAGGCTTCCCTCAAGGGGCCGACGTGAGCAGAGCACATGATACCTTTCCCTTTCGACCACCTTCTCCTGCTCTTTTAAGATCAAGATATCGAAAGTGCCCTTTAGCACGGCCTTACAGGCAAAATGACAGGTTAAATGTTCACAGGATTCCTCCCAGATAACCAGACTCTAATTCTCCCGTGATTGGAAGTTGCCGGAAGTTAGTGAACATCTCTAAACCTAGGGCAGGGGACAGCTGAAAACGCGGATTCTGAAGTCAGGGTGTCTTTGAAGTCGGTAATTTCCTCAAGTAGGACACACTTCTAATAGCATCTTCTCATAGTAATCAATTAAAAACCCTGTGGATCTGTGCTCTAGAACAAAGATGCTTCTTTCAGAATAAGAATGTTTTCGTGAAAGTAATACAGAAAAACTCTCCCCTCAAAATCCCCAAACACATGCTCCCTACATGTACAAGGAAACACAGCCAAACAACAATAACCACATAAAAATAATTTTTCAAACCACACATACAAGAAAAAAAAAAATCTTTACAAGAAGCTATAAGCGGGGCTTGAGAAACCAGGATGTTTTCTAACACCATGCCAAGCCAGTTAGAACACACTGGGTTTTAAAAATAAGGTTTTACGATAGCCCGTTTACATTCCATATAAGAAAAGGCAGAAATGTGCGCTGAGAACAGCCAGATACAACTTTAAAAATCTGACTCACTGAAGCGTGTAGGCACACACACACACCCCTTGTAAAAGAGAAAACAAACACCACTTGGGCTCATCCAAAATGTGCGGTCTTTAATCACGGTCTCATGATGTTTACCCAGAACATCCAACGCACTTTATAGCCTAAGGAGCAGTCCAAGTTCTCAACAGAAGGTTGTCACTTGAGGGACCATGTGTCTTGAAGAGCTGTTTTCACACGATCTAAATGAATAAAGAAGCATGGGGGAAGGAATGCACTGATGCAAATGGTAAGACCCACAGTCATCGCACCTTCGAGGCATATGAAATGCATTCCACCTCGAGCATCTGTATGTGTGCCTTTTGAGAAAGTCACCCCCTGTTCCCTCCACCTCGCTTCAAGGACCCGCTGTAGTCTCGGGGGCCCCAATGCCGGGATCCACTGATGTCTGAAGAGATGCAAGGCAATGATGTAGGTACAGCCAGGACTTCACTTTAGAGAGACCTGCACTTCATCTAAAAGCCTGTGGAATGTCTTTTCTCTTTAATCTGATTTCAAATGAAGATTTTATTTATTTCTCTTTAATTTTAAAAACTTTTTATTGAAGTACAGTTAATTTACAACGTTGTGTTAGTTTTTGGTGTACAGCAAAGTGATTCAGTGTTATATATATATATTTGTATTCTTTTTCAGATTCTTTTCCATTATAGGTTGTTACAAGATATTGAATATAGTTTCCTGTACTATACAGTAGGTCCTTGTTGGTTATCTATTTTATATATAGTAGTGTGTGTACATTAATCCCAAACTCCTAATTTATCCCTTCCCCCCCACCTTTCCCTTTTGTAATCATAAGTTTGTTTTAATTAATTAATTACTTTATGGCCGCTTTGGGTCTTCATTGCTGCACACAGGCTTTCTCTAGCTGCGTCGAGCGGGGGCTACCCTTCACTGAGTTGTGCGGGCTTCTCATTGTGGCGGCTTCTCTAGTTGTGGAGCATGGGCTCTAGGCATGCGGACTTCAGTAGTTGTGGCATGTGGGCTTCAGTAGTTATGGCTTGCGGGCTCTAGAGCGCGGGCTCAGTAGTTGTGGCACACGGGCTTATTTGCTCCATGGCATGTGGGATCTTCCCGGACCAGGGCTCAAACCCATGTCACCTGCATTGGCAGGTGGATCCTTAACCACTGTGCCATCAGGGAAGTCCATAAGTTTGTTTTCTATGTCTGTGAGTCTGTTTCTGTTTTGTAACTAAGTTCCTTCGTATCATTTTTAAAGATTCCACATATAAATGATATCATATGGTATTTGTTTTTCTCTGTATTACTTACTTCACTTAGTATGATCATCTCTAGGTCCATCCATGTTGCTGCAAATGGCATTACTTCATTCTTTTTTATGGCTGAGTAATATTCCATTGCATGTATGTACCACATCTTCTTTATCCATTCATCCGTCGATGGACACTTAGGTTGTTTCCATGTCTTGGCAATCGTAAATAATGCTGCTATGAACACTGGCCTCACTAGAAACACTCACTGCCTGTACTGTTCTTATGCATACCCCTCCTCAATCCACTCTGGTCTGGGGTTCCCACTACCGAGCTACCCTCATCAAGGCCGCCCAAACTTGGGGACCCCGCACTCTCCCCCTTCCTGCCTGGCTGCCTCTCCTCCACCCCACCCCGTCCCGGGCCTCATTAACAATCTCTCTCTCTCCTCTCTCTGCTATCCTCTCCATGGATTTATCTATTACCTACATTCTATCTCCAGTCAGAACCACTCCTCGGAGTTCCAGCCTCACATTCAACTGTCTACTGAACACCTCTATCTCGATATTCAACAGGGACCTCAAACTTACTATGTCCACGACAGAACTCTCGATTCTCAAAGCTGGCCCTCCTCATTAAAAAACAAACAAACAAAGAACAGAAAAGAAAAACGAAACGCAGAAATCCCTCCCCCCCCAGTCTTTCCTCTCCTCAGAAGTTGCTAGAATTTGGGAGTCATGCTTCCTGCCCCCCTTGTCCTCACTCCCCGAATCTCATCCATCACCAAATGCTGACACCTGTACCTCCAAGACACATCCCTTTCTCTTATAACACACAACAGCTTTACCGATACATAATTCGTACGCCATGCAACTCACCAATGTAAAGTGTACACGTCAATGGCTTGTAGTATGTCCGTGGAGCTGTACGACCATCATCGAATAATATACAACAGCTTTACTGGTATATAATTCATACGCCATGCAACTCACCAATGTAAAGTGTACACGTCAATGGCTTGTAGTATGTCCGTGGAGCTGTACGACCATCATCGAATGGGTATCAGGCGGCGTTCGGGTGCTGGTGACAAACAGAGGGTGAGAATGGCCGGCCTGGTGGGTAAAGTCCAAAGTCCCTACTACCTCTGTGACCTGGCCCCTTCCCACCTCTTCAGCCATATGGCCCACCATCCCTCCCCCAGTAGGTGACCACGAGAAACCGCACTGACCAGGGCTGCTGGGTCCAGGCTGGTCTCGGAACGCCTTCCCTCCCTTGTCACTTCGAAAACCCCTGATCATCCTTTCCCGATGAGCCCTTCCTGACGTGGTCTATGATTTCCAACCTCTAGACTGTTCGTGTCCACAAGGCAGGGGCTCCATCTGTCTCTGAATCCACAGAACCCAGGAGGGTCCGCCACTCCACACACGTAATAAATGTCTGGGACGTGCCCTCAGATCTCTTTTTCTCTTTTTAATTCAGCGACAACATGCGCCTCTTTTTTTCCAGGTGTGACTCATCAATTCTTAATATCCCTCTGAAGTTAGAAAGGGACAAGAAAGTGGCTCCTCAGTTTAGAAGCAGAAAGCGAAGTAGGTGGAGCCCACTCACGTGCTTTTGGGCAGAAGCCCCCTCTTCCAGCTTTCCCTCCGTGAAGCCCCTGTTTCCAAAGGAAGGAGGACGTCAGGGCATCGGCCAGAACTGTCGGTGCAGGGAAAGCAAGACAACAGAGCTCTCCGCCTGACTGCTCCCGCCTCCTGCAAAGTTCTGCTTTCTAAGAGGCAGTGAGCTCGAGCGATCAGGAGACGTATCTGTTTAAGCTGCTCATCTCCAGGGGATAAGAACACCGAGCACGAGTGTCTGAATTCTGTCCTCAACTCTGCTACGATGGCACCAGCCTTGGAATCATTTTCTTTTTCTCCATAGACTTGGGAACCGGACTTGGAATCCTTTTCTTTTTCTTTTTCTCCATAAACTCGGGATTTTGACATCTGCGAGTGAAGACCAGAACGTACCTGATCATCTCCTAACACCTACACTAATACACCCCTGTGAGTCTGAGCTTGGGCTGCCTGCACCATGGACGGATAAATGTTAACCGCTGGGTAGGTTTAAAGAAAGCAAAAGGGGGGATATTATCGTTGGTTAACAATATTTTTCAACCAATAAATCACCCTCCCCCAGACAGTCTAAATCAATCAATCTCTGTCTCTCTGTCTGTCTGTCTGTCTCTCCCTCTCAAAGCTTAGGGAGAACTTCAGTGGTTTGGATGACAATATTTCGAGCTCCAAGGTCACGTGTAGGTCACTGGCTTGAACACCAGATGAGCAGGCCAACTCTTCTCTCCCAGGCTGCTGCTTCAAGAGCGATGGGTGGAGAACCAACGCTCACAGCACGAACAGAACCGCTGGCCTCAAGATCCAGATGAAATGTGAGTTAGCCAGGGAGGGAGCTTGGCCCGTGTTTTATGAGTCCTGGCTGCAGGGAGGGGATACAGCCTCTCACAGGGCTGGACCAGCATTGCATTCCTGGACACCACGCTGAGTCTTGAGAGTAACGGGAGACGTACAAAGTGTGACATGCTCTGTTTAGGCTGCTACGGATCTAAAAGTATGGGATTGCTGTGAATTCATCGCATGGCAGAAACGCAGAGGTGGCTTCTCAAGTGGGAACACAGGCTTGGAGGGCTCCAGCCGGTGGAGGGAGGTACTCGGACACGGAAGCAGACCCAGACGCTTGATCCTTTCCACGAGGGCTTGACATCACAAAGGTTAGCACCAAAAGTGGTTCCCTTGGCTGACCCCAAACACCAAGAGGGGACAGACAGCCCTGACTCCTGCGTGAAAACACAAAGCTTCTGCGGTCCTCCTGGGGGGCCGTGTAAAGGTGCCTCTCTGCGCCGAGATGCACAAAGGAGAACCAGGGGCAAACTCCAGACCTCAGAGGTACGCTGGCGACAGGAAGGACGGGGGTGCCTTCTCTGCAGCCACAGTCTCCCAGCCTCGACACAGTCCGACACCCCACGCGGCCTTGGGTGGGAGCACAGCGCGTGCAATCTCCCCATCAATGGGCTTCCGTTATCACGTTCGTTCCCCTTCTTTTCCACCATAAACACAATTCTAAGCGATGGCTGCACACTTGGGCCAACCCACAAGAGCCTAATAATCCTGTAATGAAGTGGAACCACAGTACCAATAATTCTATGAAATTGAACCACTACGCGCTGTAGCTTCAAATGTATCTGTGGCTCCCACTGCGGATCCTGAACGCCAGCTCCCTGGCAGCACACGTGGTGACCTCCTACCCTAAGGCCGAGGCAAAGACTCTTGTTTTGGGGGCCGGGGCTACAAAGTTGAGAAGGAGGGCACCGCCTGGGCGGCTGAGTGTGGGGGAACAGGGTGAGTAGGCGGTGCCAGCCGTGCAGGCA